TCATAAATTCACTGGTAACAGAAAGCAAAGCGCCTTTGGAGAGCTGCAATAACTTTTGTGCAAGAAATGATATTGCTTGTTGACTCAAAGAGTGCTCGGGAGGCAGAAGTAGCAGTGAGCCAAGATCTCACAACAAGACGAAAAAGGGCGATTAAATAATCGCGCTCTCCATGCTGTATCTCTTACAAGAAATAAAAGAATGACTGTTTGTCAAGTGTTGGCAGGTGGCTATTCCATACTGTCTGGCAGGACGGTAAATAATTGCTGTGATCTGTTGTCTCAACTACCCTTAGGCCGTGAAGACTGGGTTTCGCAATCTCTGCCAGTGAAGATGAAAAGCGACCAAAACCTGCGAGCAGAAAGAGCTGGCTCTGTCGATAACAAGGTCGGTTTATTCTTGCCACGATGAGACAACATTGCAGAGTCAGCTCGGACCCACTCTACGAAGAAGTGAAGCTCTTCGGGTTCTTGATATGAAAAATGATATACTTGCAGAACCTCTAGTCTCCCTCGAATCTTCAGCAGAAGATTTTATAGAGCTAGAAGAGATATCCCTGGAAGATGTATGCATGAAATAGCGAACGGTAAAATGGTACCGTCGGTGACTGAGAAGAAGATGAGCTCGTCATCAGTCGTTAGTGAATTTGTCATTGAGGACAATTGCACATCACTGAGTGCGACGAGTTAGACAGCTATCTTCAAAGATTCAATGGTTATTTCTGTCCTCTGTTTAAGCATTATTACGACATGGTGACGAGGGATCCATCACACTTTTTACCCCCGGAAAGGAGAGTGTGTCACGGAATTGGCTTAGTTCGCAAATTCAAATATTCAGTCACACGGTGATCGCCCTCACCGACGGTAAAGGCAACTGTCGAATTGGGTATGCCTCTAAAACGATGAATGCGGTCATGATATTGGGGCAAACACTGCTTATGGGATGTGCTGCCTTATTTTACATGTATTGTTTGGTGTGTAGGTGGATACACCAAGGCGTCGCGCGTGTAGCTGCAAGCACAACAGTATGCGCATCTAAGTATGCTGAGCTGACTGTTTCTGACCGTTCAAAGTGGTTTGCCGCGCTATTGCAAGTCTGCTACACGTCTAAGCGAGCAGGCCTTGCCTCACACCAAGCTCGAAACGCGCGCAAATGCAGCCCACAGGTATTTACTCCCCAAGGTACCGCCTGCGCTTGAAGCGCCAGCGTTAGGCGATCCCGTACTAATCATGATGTATGTATGTAGGGTACTTGAAGCTGATAAAAGTACAGCTGCATATCAGAATCAATATTAGCACTGGACTAGGAAACCCCATCGCTTCACTCGTCTTGACGCAATGTATTTCAAGTTCAGCGCACTTGATATGTACCCTCAGCTTTGGCCAATGATTAGCTTTGGAAAGTGTAAAGCGTGGCGTCAATTTCGGGATAGAAAACGTCTCACTTCCTCTTCCTGTTGTATACTGCCCCGCTCATCTCCATAAGACAGCTGTAACTTCTACTGACCACGGGTCTCATTCGCCGCAAGTCGGTCGCCTTTCAATAGTGGGAAGCGTGTTGCGACAAATCATCCTGTCATTATTTCATAGGAGATAACATCTGAGGTTTGCTGGGTCGTAAGCAGCTTCGAACTATGATGGGTACTCTGAGCAGGATTCTTTTGAAGTGGTTGATTTCGACACCAGGGTAACTTTGATGTCGTGAATCTTACACTACCGTCTGCGATCCAAACGGGGATATCCCTTCTATTTAGCCTAAATGTGGCCAATTATCAAAGGTCCCACATGCACGTTTTTTCACGAAAGATGTGTTACCAAATGTCTATGTGCTTCATCCTAGCTTGGTATCCTGTAACGGATTACACCTGAATGGGTGGTTCACACAAGATGGTGTGACCATACAAAGGTGTAGATTACACAAGTCGGTGTAATCGCACCATAGTGTGGCTACACCGTAACAAAAACCTTTACGTAGTGTGCTTCATTGGGAAGCGTAGTTTTCGAGCGGGTCCCGCTAAGGTCAAGGCCACTGTAGAGAGGCCGGTTCCAGAGAACCATATGGACTTGCGCAAGTGGTTTGGTCTCACCACAACTATAGCGTGGATCATGCGGAAACAGCGCGGCCATTGTCGAATCTCCTTATGGAGAATGCGTGATGGTGGTGGGAAGCCAAGCATCGGAAGGCTTCTAACTGGGTCAAAGATAGCCTCCTTCATGTACAAATACTGGCTTTCCCGGACCTTGATCGTATTTTTAGTACGCTGCGGACTTTGCCATTGGCTGTGCACTGCTGCAAGCACACACCGAGGGGCGAGATCGGGAGATCGCGTTCGATTCTCGCCAGCTCAAAGCTGCAGAAAAGAACTACCCAGTTCTGACAAGGAGATACTTGCGATGAAGTATGCACTTGGCAAGTTCAGGGACCACCTGCCCGGCTCCAAGCAGTTTGTG